TTATAACAAATTTATAACAAAATCAGTGTTTATTAATGTAAAGGAGTACATTACATAAAATGAGAAATTAAGCAGCACCTTCTTGATTTTACCAGATAAGTAGCACTTTCAATGTAGAATCTATAAATAGATAACAACAAACAATTGTAAATCCATTCCAAAAATGTGAACAAATTTTCACAGATTCAATAAAACCCAAATATTGACACTATTGTGATCCCAAGGAAGAGAACATCGCAAGTATCCAAGTAATATGACTTTGAGATGGGAACCATCTACCCAATAGACGTAAAATAACAAGATACAAAGAATACTTTGAAAAAAAAAAAAAACAACACACACACACAAAATTTAAAAAATTAGAATCATTGGTATTCGCATTATTATTTGACATGGAACTACATCTAATTGAAGCCGGTTGCAAGAGCATGTCAAATCTCCTAGACATTTTTTATTCGCATCCAACACTTGATACAGGAAATCGTTTGACGCAGATACTTATTATGGTCAACAAGAAATGTTAACAATCAGACTGCGATTGAATGGGGTTCCACTAGAGCTGAGATATAACAAAAAACATATAGTTGAGCCTATTATATACCCCCACGAGAACAAATTCAGATTAGACAGTAAAACGCAATCAATTTTAGTTCACATCATATGCATCATCAAATCTTGCACTATTACTTGAAATGTGATATATTAGGCAAACACAGTTCAACAAAACTGAACACATGACAATTTTTTTTATCGATATTGAAACAAAAAATTATAACAAACTTCAATATAATATGATGTTTTAATTCAAACAATATAAAAAATTATTGGTTTAAGATAAATTCAACTTTGTAGTCAAGATCATGATATGAAATCTTTTTTTCGTTTTTGTATCATAATTCAATCCATTTTTGGAGGAGAAACTATGCGCTTTTGGGATCTGCATGCTCCCTGGTTAGAACCTCTAAGAGGTCTACGAGATCACCCCAAGGGCGCGCCCTGCATCGTGTTCTTGTGTGTTTATTGAGCTTTCTTCACTTCAGTGCCATGCGCTTTATAAAAAAAAAAAGTGTTCAACTCTTATGCCACTTTGATAACATTCCATAGAATGCATTGGAGATAAGTCCATGTAAGCGCCACCAAGGAAGCAAACGCCACATGGGATGACATGGGGCCCACGTGCTCACCACTCACTTTGCCTAGCATCTACATAGCATTATGATCCACCAACCTAGCACCTATGGTAGCATCGCTAAGTAACTCACATGGCCTTTGCACAAAAGATCGTCTTAGTCATGCATCACCCCTTTGGTTTACACATGGAGATGAGGAACTCCAATAGGTTCGGAGGGCAAGGACAAGTAAGCAAAACCTGGTTGTGTAGTTACACATTATGATAGTTGGAGCCCAGGTGCGCAAATTTTTATTACAAGGAAACAATCTTATTGGTCCTAAATTTCCATCCAAAATCTTTTGTGATTAGAAGAGATCTAGGAAAATAATCTTTAATAAAGTAATTCAGTTTGAAAAGTAAATGATGTCGCAGCATTGACAATTCTTAATTAATGGATGCGCAACATGTGTTAAATAACTTTGCAACATCTTTAACCTAAATTAACATAGAATCTAATCTTTATTAAATACACTAGCATAGCTATCTAAACAAAACTCTGCCATCTAGTCTCTCCCACACCTCATATTTTTCTTGTTCTTATATTCTCGACAATTAACTTGATTGTTGGAGCGTCAACAGTCAGGAGCTTTTTTCTCAGAACAAGGATCTTAGCGCTCAAATAGAGTCCTAATTTGCATATAAGTTGGTAGGAAGGTGACAATGAATCAGTTGATAACAAGGTTGACTGGATTTTTAATTTTAAATTCAAATTGAATAAAAATAGAAATATTGATTAACCTGCTTACTACTCCTCTAAATAAGGTTAGACGTCGATCCTCACCTCAAATCTGTTTTTGCAAAAGCAATTGCCTAGATACCCAATTTTTTTCTTATTATCATTTTTCTGCGTGGGAATTGATGACTACATAGAAAGAGAAGGAAGATATCAGTTTTGTTCTAATGATGAACTTTTAAAATAAATGCTTAGGGGTTATCAATGTCATACACTAAAAAAGGACTATGTTTGGTACGGACTGGACAATATTAAAGAATAAAAACAAGTTAAGTTTTGTTCATTGTACTTCCAATTGCAATTTATGTGGCAGCTTTAAATTTCCAATAGAAAGAAAGAAAATTGCAATATTGAAAAGCAGAGAGAAAGCCATTCATTTGCTTAATGCTTGCTTCTGCGTAGCAGTTGTTGGAACCAATAGGCAGACATCTTCGGGTATCTCTTGAGGGTTTTGAAATCAACATAGACAATGCCAAACCTTGATGTATACCCTAGTCTCCATTCGAAACTATCAAGCAATGTCCACTGGAAGAAGCCGATCACGTTGGCTCCCTTGTCGATTGTTTTCTTCAATTCCACTAAATAGCTCTTGTAGTAGTTGATCCTTGTGGTGTCATGTAAACCCTTAGAAAGTGTAACGTTACCTGGATCATCCATTCCTGCCAATCACGTGAAAAGGATTCAAAATTTGGATACTCAGATAATTTTTCACCTAAACATAAAACTCCCTCGAAATATAATATACATAATGTACCATTCTCAGCCAAAATCATGGCAGGATTTCCATAGTGCTCTTTGATGTAGTTAACAGCTTTGTACAGACCCCATGGTACAATGTAGAGCCAATAAGAATGTGCCTCATTTCATAGTGAAATTTTTATATGCGTGAAGTACTTAATAAAAGTTCGTCTCAGTTTGTAAACGTTACGTAGTTTGAGCTAAGTTACTGATGAGTTTGTTTCACTCATGATTTTTGCACAATTTTAACTTGATTAAATGCTAGATCTTGTGAGTATAGAACGTTTTTGATGTGTTTATTAATATTGTTTTGAAGATTAGGAAAAGCGATGTGAAAAAAAGTATTAAAGTGGATGAAGATGACAAAAATACGAAATTGGGGCAGAAAGACGGCGCTTAGGCGCTGCATTCATAGCGCCTACGAAACTAAAAAAAGATGAAATTTGGACCCAAGATGCAGCGCCTAAGCGCCGCAACCATAATGCCCAGGCGCTACCATAGCGCTTAGGCGCCACAACCATAGCACCCAGGCGCTATAACCAGTGCTTAGGCTCTGTCTTATAGCGTCCAGGCGCTGCGATTGAAGATTTATGGCGCGTTTTTTGGGGCCGTTTTTAAATCCATAAAAATCCTACTTCTACATAAAACGAAGGGGCACCTATAAATACATCTCCCTCATACTTTTGAAGGGTTCTTGACATATTGGAGAGAAGACAACAAGAAGGGAGATTCAAAAGAGAAATTCAAGAAGATTAACACCAAGCAATTGAAGATTAGAAACATTCATTGGAAGAGGAAGGAGATCTTAGTGCAAGAATTCTACTTTTTCTTCTACATCTTTATTACAAACTCGGTGATGTATTCTAAGACAAATTCATATTTTTCTTCTTGTATTATGAGAAGCTAAATTCATTGTTAGGGGGAATAATGTAACCAATTGAGATCTTTTACATTCTCTTATTAAGACTTTCAGTTTTTAAATCTTTCATGTGTTGATTTTGCTATGAGTTGAATGCATTAAATTATCTGATCAATAATTTGATGATTTTTTGTGAATTCTTTATAAATAGAGATATGAGTTTAGGATTTAGACCATGTAGTAAAATCCAGTACATTGGTATAACGAGTAGATATACATATACCATTTATTGCGGTCATAATTGAATTCCTAAGACATAGAACTCGTTTAACTAAGTTGAATTTGCATAGAGATATGAAATTTAATTAGTTGAATAGGCTCAATGAGAACTCGAGAGGGGTAAATTGAATATAATAGGAGAATTCGACCGAGCACTACATTAAAATTGAGTTTTAATTTGAGATATAAAGGTGATCAATTGGTGAGGTTATTCTACCCTAACATCCATTCATTATTTGATTCTCCAACCAATTGTGTGAACATTCATTTATTTTCTAGAATTTAGATTAAAACCCAGATTTTACAACCTTTAATTTATTTTAGTCAAATAGTAGTTAAAGAAAAATTGAATTAAGTGCTAGAAAATAATCCTTGTGAGATCGACAATCTGGACTCTTAGGTCCACTATTACTTGTTACGGGTCGTATACTTGTAAAACAAAATTTACAACAAGTTTTTGGCGCCGTTACCGGGGACTATTTTTTTTAGTCTTAATTTATTTTTTTTATTTTTATTTTTTATTTTTTATTTATTTTTCTTTTATTTACAGAAAATTGTGTTAGTTGTATGCTCCGTACCCAAGACGACGATTTGATTCGGAGATAGAACGTACCTTCAAACGAAGACGCAAAGAACACAAAGAAAAACAGCAACATCAAATGGCTGACAATCAACAAATTCATATCCCTATTCAGTCGATTGGGCAAATGGCCGTAAGAGTGGTGGCACCACCGGAACAACAGCATGAGCGAGGGGAAATAAATGAAGGTGATTTGCCAGTATCAATATTCCTGACACCTATAGCAGCACCCATGCGCTCCAGTATTGTGTATTCAGATTTTGGGGTGAATAACTTTCAGATCAGGCTAGATTGGATTAACTTGATGAACAACACTCTGCAATTCTACGGGCTACCTCATGAGAATCCGAACACACATATCTCCAGATTTCTCAGAAATTGTCAGAACTTCCATGCTCCGGGGGTCAATGAAGATGCTATTAAATTACGACTATTTCCATTTACATTGAGAAATGCTGCATTGGAGTGGTTAGATGCGGAGCCTCATGCCAGCATTACTACATGGGAAGAACTGATCAGGAAATTCTGCAACAAATTCTTCCCACCAGACAGAGTAGCTAAAATCAGATTGGAAATTTAAACTTTTCAACAGAAAGAGGGAGAAAGCTATCACAAGGTATGGAATAGATTTAATGAGTTGATGAGAAAATGTCCAAACCATGGAATCACTCAAGGAAACCAAGTGCAATACTTCTACACCGGCCTTACACCACTGTCAAAATCTCAAGTTGATGCCTCTGCTGGTGGATCAATCATAGGAAAATTAGTGCAACAAACCATGGACCTATTTGAGTTAATTGCCACCACACATTCAATGTTCTCATCAGAAAGAGTGGTACCACCAAAGATAGCAGGAATGTATGAATTAGAAAGCACAACATCTACCAATGCACAGATAGCAGCTTTAACAAAACAGGTAGAGTTACTTGTAAAATTGTAAACACATGGAGCAAGTCCAATGATGGCCTGTTCAGCATGTGAGAATTGTGGAAGAAATCACGCTACAGAGAGCTACATGATGCTCACTTCTTCAGAGGAACAAGTAAACTTTATTCAAAATAGCTTCCGTAATTTCAACTTATATGGTAACGATTTTCAGTAATAAAGAAGACCAAGTTTGGGGGAAATGTTTCAACAATATGTGCAAAAGGCGACAAAGTGTTCCAGCAAATTGACGCGAACTTTCAAAATCAGTAGGCATCCATCAAGAAACTGGAGGCACAAATTGGTCAGATAGCACAACAACTTACAGAACGTCCACAAGGGACATTGCCAGGCAATACAATGATAAATCCTAAGGAACAGTTGATGGCAATTAAAGTAGTGGAGAACGATCCACCCAGGGCCCCCGTAAAAGTTAAAGCATATGTACCTCCACTTCCGTTTTCCCAAAGACTTCGAAAGAAGTCGATGGAGCAAAATATTCATGTCATAAATACAAAGAGCGAGGTACAATCGTCAGAGATCACTACAAAGAGACCCAAAAGAAAAGATGCCCAAGAAGTAATTGATGAAGCTACAAGGGTAGAAAAATTTGAACCAAACACAACTGAAAATGGAGAAAGTACAGAAACATCAGTTGCTAAAGCACCAAGTCTAGACAAAGTTTACATGCCTCCCATTCCTTTTCCTCAAAAGCTCAAGAAGAACAAACAGGACACAAACTATGAAAAATTTCTCAATGTTCTCAAGAAGCTCCAGATCAATGTTCCGTTCATTGATGCGATACTACAAATTCCAAGCTATACGAAATTTCTGAAAGAGATGTTGACAAAGAAAAGAAAACTTCCGGAGTTTGAAACTGTGGCATTAACTGAGGAAAGTAGTGTAGGAGTCCACAGAAAATTGCCTCATAAATTAAAGGATCCAGGGAGTTTTACTATACTTATTTCAATTGGAAATTCCTATTCAATTAATGAATTTTGTGACACTGGTGCTAGTATTAATCTAATGTCGTATTCTGCTTACAGGAAATTGGGACTAGGTGAAGTCAACGCAACATCAATAACGCTACAGCTAGCTGATAGAACAATCGCAAGGCCACGTGGCAAAGTTGAGGATGTACTTGTAAAAGTAGGAAATTTAATATTTCCTGTGGATTTCATTGTATTGGACATACTAGAAGATCGAGACATTTCAATTATATTGGATCAACCATTTTTAGCAACGGGATGAACCCTTATTGATATGGAGAAAGGAGAACTAATCTTGAGGGTGGAGGACAAGCAAGAGATATTCAATATTTACACCCAATATGAGAAACCTCCCAATAAAAATGATTGTTGTAGAATTGATGAAGAAGAGCCATCTGATCAATGAAGTTGTCAGAACAAAAAATTTTTTTTTGGAGAACTTCTTGGTAGAGATAAGAATGGACAAATCAAAAATTGAAGAGCAAAAAAGGACAGCATAAATGGAAATTGCACAAAGTGTAATGATGGAATAACTTGGTTTGAGCCACCATGATAAATCAGAGGCACAAGTTAAGTTAAGGACTTAAAAGAAGCGCTTCTTGGGAGGCAACCCAAGTTTTTATTATATTTTATTTTATTTATTTTGTTTTCAAAGTTTTAAGATAGTTTAATTTATAGTTTATTTAGGAATCATCACCCATACCCCTTCTACCCATAGGTCTTGGAGTAATTAAGTTGGTTATTAGATGTTTGAACTAAGTAATCCTTGTTCCATGAGTTTAATTTTTCAAATTTAATTTTTCAGGAATATGACATCGCGAAACACTCAAACCAACATGGACATGGAGAAAATGGGACAAATTTCAAGTTTGGGGGAAAATGTAGAAGAAGAGTCGATCAAATGCAACACCAAGACACCACAATATCATAGGCAATACTGACATTTCAGGGAAGTCCTCCTCCTTTTCCTTTAAATTTCACATTGAGGACAATGTTTCAGTTAAGTTTGGGGGAGTGACATCATTTGCTTACATTGTTGAGTTTCTCGAATGCTTATGTGTGATTTTCTTGTTTTATGTGTTTGTGTTTTTATTCAAAAAAAGAAAAGAAAAAAAAAATTTCATTTCGTGTTTTTGCATGCTTGTGTGTGTTAGATAACCTTGTCAGTATTGATATGTGTAATTGAGAACATGCGTTGATTTATGAATTGTGGACGAGTTATGTGTTTGAGTTAGATTTTTGCTTATTCATGTGAAATGAAAATGATTTTTTGCACATGAGTTGATTGTAGCGTTGTGCACGAGGAGGTTGATTCATGTTTATAGGTTGAAATAGAGAACTTAGATGCTAAACCCAAACAACCATTAAACATCACAATACCCTTAAACCAAACTTAAGACGTTTGGATGATTGCACTGTTGTAGGGAAATTTGGAGATAAATGTGGATTTTGTATGTGTTAATTTTTGTGTGGATTGTCTGAGACCAATAGGATGAAAACTGAGTGAAAACTTTAAGTTAGAGGTCGATTTTCGAGGATAGGTGTTTAATAAGGGGCATTGCACTAATCACCGCATAAAAAAAAAGATCCCAATGAAGACAACTTTAATAATCTCATTGTGAATCGTCTCTTCGTAGCCTTTATGACTTGAGTGATTAAGCCTGTAAGGGTTTAAAACCTGGTACTCTAAAGTTATCTGATTTGGGAGTCATCAGCTTAAAACTCGCTACAGGGGTCATTTAGAAAGCTTAAGAGAGAGACGTCCGCACAAAGAGTGATTAAAGAATAAAGATATATATGAAAAAAATTAAAAAAAAAAGAGAAAAAAATAGATATCAAATGCCTTGATTAAGCCCCGAACACTTGTTTTAGAGGATTAGACCTTTAATAAGGGGTTAGTAACTTGGTTGATTTCTAGAGGTTGAAGCAGTGAAAAATAAGGAGAATCATCATTTATTGACATGTGGAACTACAATCAGTAAAATCTAACCAAACTTGAGTGGTGTAAGAAATTAGTATTGAAAATTTAACCTTATGTTACACCCTTAGAAAGAGAAAAGAAAATAAGTTTGGGGGTGTGAGAATCCTACGAGCAAAGTAAGAAAAAAATTGATTTCTAAGGTCGAGAATTGGGTCAACTTATTATTGTACAGAGTTGTACTTGACTCTCTCCCCACAAACACACACACACACCCGTTTTGCATTAAATATGTGAGAATTTATCTTTTGCATTATAGCTTTGAAGTGGTTCATGAAATGGAAGTCATGTTTTTAATCCCGAGACATGAAGGCAAGCTATCTAGCGAAATTTATTTTTAAGTGATTCTGTTTGTCTTAGTTGTGCTTGTGCATCCATTAATTATTTTATGGGTTTTGGTGTTTGCTCGAGGACAAGCAAAAGACTAAGTTTGGAGGTATTTGATGAGTTTGTTTCACTTATGATTTTTGCACAATTTTAGCTTGATTAAATGCTAGATCTTGTGAGTATAGAACGTTTTTGATGTGTTTGTTAGTGTTGCTTTGAAGATTAGGAAAAGCGATGTGAAAAGAAGCATTAAAGTGGACGAAGAGGCAAAAAACACGGAATTGGGCAGAAAGACGACGCTTAGGCGCTGCATTCATAGCGCCTAGGTACTACTAAACTGAAAAAAGATGAAATTTAGACCTGAGAAGCAGTGCCTAGGCACTGAAGACATAGCGCCTAGGCGCTGCGATTGAAGATCTAGGGCACATTTTTTTGGGGCCGTTTTTAAATTCATAAAAACTCTACTTCTACATAAAATAGAGGGACACCTATAAGTACATCTTTCTCATACTTTTGAGGGTTCTTGACATATTGGAGATAAGACAACAAGAAGGGAGATTCAAAAGAGAAATTCAAGAAGATTAACACCAAGCAACTGAAGATTAGAAGCATTCATTGGAAGAGAAAGGAGATCTTAGTGCAAGAATTCTACTTTTTCTTCTACATCTTTATTACAAACTCGGTGATGTATTTTAAGACAAATTCCTACTTTTCTTCTTGTATTATGAGTAGCTAAATTCATTATTAGGGGGAATAATGTAACCAATTTGGATATTTTACATTCTCTTATTAAGACTTTCAGTTTTTAAATCTTCCATGTGTTGATTTTGCTATGAGTTGAATGCATTAAATTATCTGATCAATAATTTGATGATTTTTGTGAATTCTTTACAAATAGAGATATGAGTTTATGATTTAGACCATGTAGTAAAATTCAGTACATTGGTATAATGAGTAGAGATACTTATACAATTTATTACGGTCATAATTGAATTTCTAAGACATAGAACTCGTTTAACTAAGTTGAATTTGTATAGAGATATGAAATTTAATTAGTTAAATAGGCTCAATGAGAACTCGAGAGGGGTAAATTGAATATAATAGGAGAATTCGACCGAGCACTACATTAGAATTGAGTTTTAATTTGAGATCTAAAGTGATCATTTGGTGAGGTTATTCTACCCTAACATCCATTCATTATTTGATTCTCCAACCAATTGTGTGAACATTCATTTATTTTCTTGAATTTAGATTAAAACCCAGATTTTACAACCTTTAATTTGTTTTAGTCAAATAGTAGTTAAAGAAAAATTAAATTAAGTGCTAAAAAATAGTCCTTGTGGGATCGACAATTCGGACTCTTAGGTCCACTATTACTTGTTACAGGTCGTACACTTGCGAAACAAAATTTACAACAGTTACCCTTGGACCAATTGGTACTCCATGACGATCATCTGAAAAGGCAACGGATGAGGTAATATTATTCAGTAAATTTAAATGTTGATTTCAATGTCAAAAGCAAGAGGGGAGTATCTTACAAGCATATCCAACATTTCAATCCTTCTGGTAGTCAAGGGGGCCCGGCTTATTTCGATGTGGATCATACATATAGTAAGCAGTGTATTGATTTATGCCCATGAAATCAAAGGACCCCTTTACCATCTTCACCTCTTCCTTTGTGAACTTTGGGAGCCTTTTCCCGACAATATTCTTCATTGTTTTTGGATATTCACCATATACAAGAAGATGCATGAACCTGTACTCATTGAATGGCAGGAGATATTGTTATGGTTCTTCATTTTTAAAACATTGACTCGAAATATATTGAAAGAATCTCAGGCAAATAACTGGTAAAGGAGAAATGGTTCTTCCATCCTCTAAATCAATTGTAGTTTCAAAGAAAATATTTATGGCAAATGGTAACTAAATATGGCTTAAATTTTAGTTGAAGTGACTAACAATTTATTCAAACATTATCTTAAAATTGAAATTTGTAAATCTTCAACCAGAATTTTTGTTATTGACTCTTACCATCTAAATTGAAAATCTCTCACCCTTTGAGAGGCAAATTTGTCGGCTTTGCATCTTGTCAATGGTTCATACCAAGTGAAACCCGAAAGAATCCCAATCTTTCCCTTTTGTTTCTCCTGAAAACAGATTTTGAAAGGCATTCATAAACATTCTCTCCCTTTAACCAAAAAGACTTGAATTTACCCAAAAAAAGAATGGGCACATTGAAGCAAATGGAAAAATCTGAAATGTTTCGCTTATAAATAAAAATCTGAAATGTTTAGCTTATAAATAGAGGACATAAATGTTTATTTTACTTGATATTTCTACTTGTATCTCTGAGCAGTAGCTGCATGACATAAGATGAGATTATGACAAACAATATAAGGTTCGGTTGCAGAATCTCCTTTTGTGCAATTTCCAAATGCTTTCGAGCATCTTCCAGGTGCAAAGAACCCGTTGTCATACCCAAGGGCGGCTATCACTTGTTGGTCCCAGACAATTATTATTTCGTAATTTTAGAAACAATTTTACAAAGAAACTCAAACTGCAGAAATGTAAATCGCGAAAATAAAAATAACAACAGATATGTTTTTGCTCCAAAAGGAGCCCAGATGTTCAGTTCAAAGAACATAATCACCCGTTGAGCCTCAGTCAAGAGTATGCTCGAGATTCCACTAAGTTTCACAAAGAAATCGTACAAATGTTCGAAGAAATCAGAGATTTCTTCGTTTTATCTCGCCTCCTTTTACACAACTTC